ATATATATATATATATATATAAATATATATATTTCCGAGTGCGCGTATAAACGAAAACAGGGCCTCTGTCGCCACGATTGCACGAACACAAGTTTTGCCTCGAGCAACGTAACTTGTAATAGAAGCCTGTCCTTGAGGCTCACACGTCCGCTGAAAAACGCGTGATGTATTGACCTGGGCAACTTTGCCAACACGTGCCGAAAACAAACCATCAGACAGCCGAGAATTCAAAGAAGGAGCAACTCCAAAGATAGGAGAGTGTCTTGCAATTTAATGCGGACGCCCCACTGGGCAGAATACTTGCAAGTGCGCATGCATTTCCTTGTGGCAAAGCGAGAGGGAATGCCGGCGCATACACTTGCAGACGATGAGCGGTTTTGTCACCTCATAGCAGTTCGTATTACATATGCGGCCCATAAATCGCGTGACCGACCCGCGATCGAGCGAGTGAAAACCCTCTGAAATCTATGGACACCGTAGACACCATAACACGTCGCACTTACTCCTAACGCGTCCCGCCGTCGGTGATATAAAGAGCTGGTTTCCACTGGCTCGCAAAGACAAAACGATTGGGACTGCCTTTCACAAGGGACCACCATGAAAACCTACGTGCTACAAGTCCTTCTGCTCACGCTCGCTGTCGCGGTTGTGCGTGCAGCTAACACAGGTGTGTTCCATATGTCCATTGAAAAAACATCATTGCATAGAGACTCTTAAAAATGCCCCTTCGTCCACTTCACCTCAGGCCACTTAGATAGTCGATGATTTTGACTGAGAGTCACAGAGGAGGCTCCGCAATTGTCAAACAACGAAAGCATGTTCATGCCGGGGACTAAAACTTATGATGTGATATTGAACGTTAAAATATGCGCCTAAAATGTAAGCTTCTGAGTGTCATACCTCAGCCTTTATCTTTCATGTTTGAATACATATTTTTGTGTATTGTCATACGCTGTGATTTCTTTGTATATTGCAGTCATTGGCTCCTCTGATGATCGGAAAGAAAGTTGACGCACGAGCAGGTTCAAGGGTATATTAGCGTTTCTGTCCGCAACTAACAATTGGCGTAGTGATCTGTCATGAATGGTGCCTATAATTGCCCGTTCTTGTTGGTAATCCTGACTTGGTGAGAAAATAACATAAAGTTGTTTTATAGTGGTAAATTGCTTCATCACAAAGAAGTGAAATGGACGATACGGCTTTTTTATTATTGTTCTGCTACAAGGGTACATATGCGCCTGTTCATCTTTCCCAACCTAACTATAAGAAGGTGCTGACGGTTTCCGTGGAACTTGTTCAAAACTACCACTGTTGATTAACTTCTGTGTCATTTGAATTTGAAGAATTGCATAATAGTTTTTCTACGCGACGATTCAGTGTCGACACGATTTGAATGTTAGCATTGTGATTAGCAGAAACAAAAGAAAAACAATAAATAGCAAAAACCAACTAACATAACTGTTTTGTGGTGTTACTGACTCCAGAGCAGTAACTTTTTTTTATGCGTGCAGGTCCACATTTTTTAAATAAAATTCAACCTTTAAGGGTGAACAGAAGGTTAGGGCGCGAACGAGCTGGTGATTGTTAAACATTCTTGACTGGAATGCAGAGACTGGGCGGAGAGGAAAACACAAAGCGTGTTTTTGGGGAAAAGTACAACTCTCGCGGGACCGAATAATGAAAATTTGTAACCCAACTGAGTGAAGCAGTAACCTAAATCACGGCGAGTATTCTATAGAAACTGAAATTTGCTTCTTTGTTTTCTATTGCGACATCGGTAGTTAGTGCTATATTCTTTGTAAATCAAAGTATCACGAGAAAATCATTACTTCTATATTCTGTTAAGCGGATAGCTTCATTGCAGTATTAGAAATTTGCATTTCAAGGTATGTAACCATTGGACACCTCGACCTAATCCAAGGCTGCAACACGAAACAGGAATAACATGGTACATGACGGCGATTACAGCATGTGCCCAGAACAAAAATATACCAAATGAGTTTGGTGTAGCACGCTCTTTCTTTAGTTTTTAGTGCGTTTTGTCACTCACGGCAGGGCGGACAGTTGAAGGTTAGCAAGTTATGCAGTCATTTTTTATATTTAGTCTTATACTTCAATATATTATAGCTTTAAGATAGGATAACACATGCGACAAGCCCCTTCAGTATTGCAAAACTTCATTTCACGAACGTTTTAGGGCAAGCTATGCTGGATTGATCAAAGATGCGACCCATAAGAAATCAATATCTACGGCGAATAAATGTGCGTCGAAAATAAACGCAGTAATTTTTAAACCCCTACGTTCCAATCAAAAGAGAAATCAATGCTCTCAAGCAGTGAATTTGCCTCTCTACTGCACTTATGTCCCACATACCATATTTTATTTTTCTCATATTGACATACTCCTTGTTTAAACAAAAATTTTCGAAAAACCCTAACAATAGGGTCGTTAACACTTGAAAAAAATCTTTCCGGAAAGAAAATGCATTCTACGGTGCAAGCGTCTCGGATAAAAAAAAATATTAACTAATATTTTGAATATCTAGAATTTAATGATAAGTTCTTTTTTATGTATGAAGATAAACATTTGGTCCTAATTAAAACATGGTGAGCATCACCGAAATACAATTATTAAGCCTACTGAGAAAGATACACAGGGCAGGTGCAGCATTTTATGGTGTTCCGAAGAAACGTTCACGTTTGACTTTCGGTTTCCCATCGGTGGACCAGCAATCCTGCACCCCCCTCCCCTCCCCTGGTGATTGAGACGAAAAACGAACGTGCGCATTATTAATTGTCTTTGGTCACTTTTAGTGCAGTAGAATATGCTAAGCCTCCCTCATTATATGCTTCCAAGTTAGTTGCGTTGGTGGTTTTTTCTAATACATATTGAAGTTGTGCTCGTTGGTGCATATTGCGGGAAAAATGTAAGAAAAATACGTATTCAAAACTGGACAGATCTTCACTCAGCCACCCGAGAAAAAAAACGAAGTGTTACAGAATATTTAATTAATTTAGAAATTATAGAAACAAAACATCAACTTCCACACATACCTTCTCATTCTACGATTGAATTCCTCATTATACATCGTAATTGACTCTGCACTAATGGAAACATCAGGGCTGTGTAGACCACGTATGGTTAGTTCTCTACATTATATATTTTTGTTACATACTGTGTAGCACTTCGTTTTTATCTTTTCGAATGGCTGACTAAAGACGTTTCCTGCTGAGAATTGGCATTTTTCTTTCTTAATCCCCGCTTCATGGCTTCATATATTGAAGAAGAGGAGAAAGAAAACACAGTCGTGAATAAGTCTTGTGCTCGTGTCTTTCTTCTACTTGGCCTTGTGTAAACTTTCAAAAAGTTACTTAATAAACGTTAGTTAATTATGTAACCAGTTATTCGTCTTTTGCAGTTCCTCATGTTCGTCGTGGCCAGTTTTTTGTTCCGGAAAGAGTTTTTTTTTTCTTTTTTTTTTGCGATGTTAGCCATGCTCTTTTTGGCGATTTTTGAATGTTTTCGCTGAATCAACAAGTATTAATGCTCGAGACCCGAACGATTAGTCTTCCCAGGTTTGACCCAGTCACAGTCATTTAAGGAAGGAAGCGAGTAGATAAAAAAATGGAAAATATGTGATTTCAATTTAACCTGTTACTGTGACGCCATGATGATACGCCTAAGAACGTCATGGTCACAAAAAGAAAAAAAAAGTACACGCACGGTATCTTTTAGACAATAGAGAAAGCCAGCCGTTGAAACATCTAGGCGTTCGCATAGTTTGAAGCGATGTTTGTCTCGACCACGCGAGGCGTCAATCTATTTGTCTTCCCACAGGAATCGAATGGCCGCCAAAACCAGAGAAGTGCGCCGAAGGCGAAACCTGGAAGGAATGCGTCGGAAGTTCATGCGCTGAACTCACCTGCGAACGCCCGAAGCCTTCCCGCGGATGCACCGAAGACTGCAGATACGGATGTTACTGCGCTCCGGACTTCTTCAGGAACGCCAATAAAGAATGTGTCAAGAAGGACAAGTGTCCATGAAAACTGTAACGAATCTCATTATTTCGCAAAAAATAACGTGTTATTAAACACCGGAATATCCAGTATTACCATTACAAACTACGACGAAGCAGACAGATGGGTACTTTATTGTAGTAGCCCTTGTTGTATTTTTTTTTAATCAATCAATTGCTTCATTCACTTTTGAAATTTGTTAGAAACGATGCATAACACATCTGCATACGCAGCTTATTTGGCCCAGGCTTGAGTCCATTCCATCAAAAGTAGAATTATGAATCCGGTGTGTTGCCTTGCACTCATGCTTGTGCCGTACAAATATTGGTAAAGACTCTCATTTTTTATAAATAGACAGCTCAATATACATTATCATCTGCTCTTCTATATTGTTCAAACTTCCACGTAATTTGCACGTAGCGTAGTATCCGGGCTTGAACCCGGATACTAGGCTCAGTGAAACCGTAATGACAAGTAGCAATGTTTTTTTTTTTCTAAAGTAATAAACGTGTCTTGCATAGAATTTGCGTCTCCCATTGGCTTGTACCCTCGCTTCAGCAAATCTCAAGGCAGTAGTAAGCGAAGACGGATTACCCTTGATATGTACTGGCTCATGTTCGTGTGCGAGCGTTGTCTGCCTGCGCTTCTGCTGACTGCGTACAGCCCCTGCACCTTATCTCTCGGAAGAGCTACCGGTCGAATGGCCTCTTTGGTGTCAGCAGCCGGGACGATACGTCCGAGCGCGTCGATGGTACGAGCGGAGGGGCCAAAGAAGCAGTGCTGAGAGCGCATCCTCACTGAGTTTGCCCTCTTTCTGCAAGTGCTCATCCTCCGGCTTATGTTATCAAGCGTAACGTTACACATTTTAGCTTGTGTACACACCAACTCAACTCTTCGGCTTCACACCAGTGCGGTGGCGCTGCTGTCGGAACTGGGCTTCCGCAGATGTTTCGCCTTATGAGAATCTGGTTTCTGTGCGCGGCCGACGCGAGCTTGCTTGTAAACAGTGGTTGATGTATATGCGATCGTTTATCGTCTAGACTTTGACCTCACTCGGACTTCAGCTGAAAGGAAGTGTAGCGGACGACTCTCGCTCATCAACGTGCTCTGTATACGTGCACGTTTATTCTAGCTTGTAATGCCACACAGCTCTGTGTTACGGTGACGGCCGGTCTGCCAGTTGATGAATCCGCGATATTATGAAAAGAATTATTGGAGTGTTGTACATCGTCTTGAAAATAACTGAGACCGTGATTAGTTTCGCCTAGTTAATGCTTTGGTTTCTGAAATAAGCCTATAGCTTCTATTGGAAACTTGCAAACCGTACTTTCAATCTATTATATCAGCCAATTTTGGCAGAGAAAAAACGGGATGTTCCGCAGACTTATCCATTTCTGTTGGAGGCAGAATGCTGGCGGAGCAAGAATGAGTATGATAAACTGGAACATCAGGTGAGTGCCTCGAAGCAGGATGGATTCTCGGTATCCCCAAAAACGAAGCACGCACGTGGTAAACATCTAACTAAAATCAACTGCTTCAACTATTTTTTCTGCTGCCTATCAAGGTTCTAACTGATTTGTTTTTCTATTTTACAAAAAAGGATAGCGATGCCAAAAATAGTTATCAGATGATTAAAAGCTTGAATAACATAGACGTTATGCATCTCAGTAAATAGTTCCTTTCATGCCAACCAACATGGTACCTATCTTCTTTCAGTGCGATTCGTAGTTTGTACGAAAAATCAAAAATTTATCTGAAGTCTAATGACATGTAAGGTACCATGTATACAAACTCTTCCTTCATATACAATAGAAACACCAATAAATGTCTAAAAAAAGCTAAATCCCTAGAAAAGAATTTTTTATCTTGTTTTAGAAAACGTCATCGACTATGCGTTTTCAATTTTTCTATGTTCATTCTTATAACATCATACATATAAAGTCTTCAATAAATCATACGGAAATTATCATACTGAAATAATTTGGAAAAAAAGTTATCACGTTGTGATTGCGCTAACCGTGTTGTGCAGCTTAATAAAAGAACATTTTGTTTAGAAAATCCTAAAGTTTTAAACTTTGTACAACGCACGGTGACTGGTGCGTGGAATATTTTGTACGTTATTTGTTCCGACGTCTTTAGTGGAAGATACATGTTTCTTTTATATATTTTGTAACTTAACAACCTTTCCAATAATCAACTTCCGCGCAAGGCCATCTTGGACTTCTTGACTGCGTGAAGAGGTTCTGGATAAGCTCATAAAAGGTTTATCTGGACCAGTAACAGATAAAAGCACCAACTCTCTTTATTCTTGCCTTGATCATTGTAGGATGAGCACGAAAAAAATAATATACCACCCTCCATTACCAAAAACACATGCCTCCTCACGTTTACGCAAAATAATTAAACCAACTTGGGTATTTCTGGAAACATTAGACCGGCACGCAAGTGTTCGTAGTATTGAGTAAGCCTCTCTGCGCTTTTCAAGACTCCGGACCAGCGGCGTCTTCGATCCTGCGATAAACTGGCCCTTCAGAAGGTGACAGCAGGCACGTAATTCTTTGAAGTAGCTTTGGCAAAGCGTACGCAGCACTGTTTGTGAGCTTGCCCAGAGGCCAACATCGGCATAAAAAGTTGCGAGTACTACGGTTTTGGTTTTTTTGTGCGTGTGTTTGTATGTGTGTGGTGCTCCGTTCCTTAGCTCCTCTTTCACGTTTTTTTTTTTTTTTTTTTGTGCTCGCCATTCTCAGAAGGACCCGGCCCCTCTCGGAGGCCCTTATAAAAACAGGACGCAGTTTGTCGTCAGACGTTGACTATCTCCTTCCACAAACTACGACAATGTTGAAGTTTGTTGTGATCGCTCTGCTGGGCTCCTTGGCCCTGGCCTCTGCGATCCCGGAACAGTATGACGGTAAGTAAACCTAATAATTTTTATGGCAGAACTACCATGAGAGTTTAATGGATCTAGCAACCTTTATATAAGTCTCAAAATATGTTTATGCCATGCTCCGCCATGTGTCATGTAGCACACAAATGCCCATAGCTGGTGCAACATTTTGATTGGAGATGGTGGAGAGCCAACTCGGCCTAAATCAAAAGTTGGGGCTAAGACTGTAACTTTCCTACGGGCCCACATAGAAGTAAATTTTTAGGGCGAATATGAAAAGAAAAACTTGTGGTCGCTTCGGCTATCTAATGTAGCCATATTAGAAAATAATGAAAAACAATAATTTTACACTTTGCTTTTGGTCTTAGTTTCGTAAAAGAAAATGCCCCTACTGCTGAAACAACATAGACATTTTCACATTATTCTCCAACAAGGCTAAGCAGCCTACTGAGCGGTATAATCCTTCGGTCTTTATTTGTACACTTTCATTGGGGCTAGTTTTTATTTCGTTATTTTTAGAAAACAAATGAATCACCTGGTCATGCTTCTGTGGCAAACTACAATGTCGGAGCACGAGAAGATATATTTTTCTTATTTAAATGGGGAATATAGATATTTATTTTTAGGCCTGTAAATAAGCATGTTATTTCTAATCATGATCCAAAGATCCCCAAGCAGCACACTTTCTCGGCCCAGGCTTGGGCCAGATTGGCGCGAGATAGAGCCAACTTGGCTCAGGCCTGACCCAAGCTTGGCCGAACTGGCCCAAGCATGAGCCGGGGAATAGTGCTGCTAATTGGCATCGACTAGATTGGGAAAGTCAAAGAGCAGAAAACGCTAGGTATCATTTTTTAGAAGATATGCAATGCTATCATAACATAAAATACTTAGCTAAGAAGCTGTCAAAGTTTTGGGGGTAACATGTCACTGTCGCTTTTCGTTGCCAGTAAATATTAAAATGCAAATTTATCACGCTCTCTTTAGCTCACAAATTAGCCGCAGTCATTTGATTTGGCTATAACGACTTAATGTAATGTTAGCAAACTTACTGTCCTCGAAACGAATATTCTGTGTTTTTTTGCGACGTGTTTTACGACACATATACCGAATCATTATTATTTTAACGGCAACGTCATGATAATTGCTAGTGTCTACGAGTACCATTTGTTGGGTTCTTATTTAGTGCTATCTCGTGAGTATTTATTTTTTGTCTAATTTACCTCACCTGACAAAACGTAAACCTCCTACCTATATCCGACGCAGAGAGTTCTGGACTGTGCTCCATCGTCGTGCGAATTACGCGCTGTAGTCAATTGCTCATAAGCTGCCTAGATTACTTACCAAGTTTATTACAGACCGCATTTATAGTCACCTTTTAAGAAAGAGATATGTAAACGCGTATTTTCTTCAGCCAAATTATATTTTATAGTGCTTTTTTCGCAATGCCCTCTATGTGCAGGGGCACCATACCAAGTCAACGTACATCGTGGAAGGTTTTTCCCTGGTGCCCTCAGCACAATAGTTTTAAAATAAACAAGTTCAAGTTCTTTTCAAGTTCAATGGGCCATGATTTTTGAAGTACCTCGGAGCTACCCTGTTAGATATTCCAGCCAACACCCTTCTTCTTCAGTTGAGTTTCCACTAGTTTGTGGCATCCTCACTGGGAGCGTGTGAACGGCAGGGTGTGTGTTTCAAAATCTCAGGCTCCAGCACGCGCTCAATGCCCTTCGTTGTGCTTTGGCGGCGCGTACGCGCTCGAGGTAGACGAGACGGTCGAAAGGTTGTCGAAGGTTGGAAGCTCGCGCTCTAGGTGAGGCACCTGAAGCTCCTCTCCGCGCATTGATATTGTGAATGACCCTAGTATGCTGGAAGAAAATAAAATATACCAAGAGCGCCACAGATAGCTCGAAAAGAGAGAAGACTCTGTTTTCCTTTTGTTTTTATGCAACGAAGGCCTGGCCTCAAAGCCATCAGTATGGTCAAGCGGGCTTCACCTGGGCGCAGGCGTGGCTGTTAAAGCTTGCCGTCTCTCAATACTCTTTGAGTAAAACGAATCTGCTCTAACTTTCTTCGATGTGCATCAGCGAAAATTGAGTCTTAGAATAAAAGTTTTTCGACGCTTTGGGTCCATCGAACAACTTGGGGCATCGCACTTCGCATGGACGGAGCTCTGCGCAAGTCTAGTGCGGGGACCCAAAGCTGCTTGGGCACCGAAGGCGTTGGGGTTCTTTATTCTAAAACTTTCTCTCGTTCTTTGTTTTCATCGGTTAAATACTCAGATACTTTCCACGGGTATAATCAAACCACGTTCAACTTCACTAAGCAGATTTGTCCGCATAGAAAATACAAACAAAATATGAGTAAAGTGGTATTGTTAAGTTCAGTAAGGTCTAGAACGTACTCAATCCGGCACCAAAAGAGACTTTACAAAATCCCAAGAAGCAGCGCGCAAGCTCCTGTAGGCCCTCTCATTGTGCCCTCGCATCTGCCACGCGACACTGAAGAGAGAGGTGGGTAGCGCAGTTACTCGCAAGCATTCTCTAGCACGGCCGCGTTTCCTCCGTCACCGCAAAATCACCCACGTTTTCCTATTTCTTCAACCGCCATCTCTCTCTCTCTCGCTCCCTCTCCACCTCTGCTACCACCGGACCTGAACCAACGTTACTTGATTAGCTCAGTTGTCAGTTGTTGACATCCCGCGATCTCAAATTTCCTCTCAAAACCGGTGGGCTCATAGAGTATGGTGGAGTGCCATGCTGACGCCGCGCTTCGAAACATAAGTATTACTTAGAATACGCAGCAATTTCATAGCAGCCGTCCCCCCAAAACATCAGTGCACCGAACGGCGGGGGGGGGGGGGGGGGGGGGGTGTTGCTCGTGTACGCATTGTCTATATGCAGTTCGGTAACTCAGCTAATCAAGTAACGTTTCCGTAGCCGGCATTCATTTCGGAACCACGGACGGCGCTGGAGATTTTGCAAACAGGTCTACACGAGCCGCGATACCTTCTGCTTCTTGAATAGAGGTTGCAGGATATTGGATAGGCCCCAAGGCAGCTTGCCTTAAGGTCTACTTGCTATCCTTTAATCAGAGTCAATCAGAACTCGGTGTCGTTCTGACGTCACAGCAACCACTGCAGCAGAAGATGCAGCAGACGAACCAGATGGATGTTACCTTCGTAAACGGGCGCTAGCTTGCGCCAGCTAGCCTCACTTAGGCGTGCCCAGGGTTGCCGGACTAGTGCTCCATCAAAAGCGCTTTCCCCACGCGGTGGCAAGACTATACTCCGCGACAACTTTTATTGGCAATGCAGTGGAAGGTGCAGGCCCGCGTCCCCTCTCCCATTTTGAGTGTACGCAGGCTCTCCTCCTCCCCCATATCAGGGTAGAGGAGGAGAGCCCGCGCACACTCAAAATGGGAGAGGGGACGCGGGCCTGTACCTTCCACTGCATTGCCAAGAAAAGTTGGCGCGGACTATAGCTTTAGAAGCTGTTGCAAACGTCCGTAGCTCGTACTCCTCATCAGTTTGTGCTGTATGTTTTTTTTTTTTGCAGGAGGACTGTACATTCCCACCCGTCGTCCCCACCGCTGCGGCGAAAATGAAATCTACAAATCGTGCACGAGCAGTTCCTGCGCCGAAGCGACCTGCGAACGGCCACGAGTCGGACCAGCCTGTACCATGGACTGCGTATACGGATGCTTCTGCCAACGCGGTATGTGTAAATTATCTTTAGTTTCGCTACAATCATTATCGACCAAGTGTAAATCTGAAATAAAGCGCGGATTGTGAATTTCAAAAATTTAAACAACAAAATAATTAATGAAGAAATTGCATCGCCTTTTATATATACTTTTACAAACTGGAATGTCTGCTCCCCGCAAGGCATTTGGGGGAGCCAATTACTCCAATCGGCGGAGGGCGTTAGGCAAACGGCGGACGGATACTTTGTTTAGGACCAAAAATATAATATCCGCAGTCGAAATGAGAATGGTGAGACTCTATGCTTAGTGCCATGTATACATCTCGAAGTGCAAAGATAAAGGGCTGATAATTAACGCGGCCACGATCCATAAAGCGGGAGAATTAATGGGAAAGGTCATATAGTCCAGCTTAACATTGGACAGGCGTAGACAAAAACCCAGGCATTGCGTCACGTATAGAATTTTTATCTTCAGTCTGCAGCGACGCCAATGAGGCCAGAGATAAAAAGTAGTGACTAGCTGGTGGTAACCTGCCATCTTTCCGTCCGTGTATACTGAAGATGCATAGGTGGTGGAACGTCTGTATTTGTTTTGGTTCTGAGTTATGTTAAGCTGTAGCAAACGTTTATAACCGCAGACAATATTATAATGATATAAAACTAAAAAAAAACTGCCGTGTAATCTGGGAGGCACAGACCCTTTATGATTTATCAACCAGAGTTCAGTAACGCCAAATGTGTTATCAACCCTCTCTCCAGGTTTCTTCCGTGACGAGGAGAAGAACTGCGTCACGAGGCGAGAGTGTCCGGAAGATTCGCCCGCGTACACATATAAAGCGAACGACTATGACTTCCAGTAAAAGAGCCATAAAGTGAAAGGTTACAGCAACTGCAATAAAGATCTTCATAAATTTCAACGAGAATTGTTTACTTGTTCTGTTTCATTACCTTGAATGTGTCATGCAAATATCCTGCGTAGCTAGCCCCGGAAATTAAACCATCTACAGTGGAGTACCGCTTCAAGAAACTCCAGTTGAACAAACTATTTATCTGAACAAACGTGTGTCAAATTCCTCGAGAAAATACCTTTTCTCTATAGGACCTTCAGTTGAGTGAACTTTAACTTAAGCAAACTTTTGCTTTAGGCCCCTCGAAGTTCGTTTAAGTTGTTGGAGTGGTTTAAGTTGGAATCAGAAATTGTCACGAATTCCCGGGAGGTGTACTCGTAATGAGGAGAGACAATCAATTCTTCGAGCAAATGGATGTCATAAATTCAAGTTGTGAAATGGCTAGTCCACGACAAGAACATATCACTACGAATAGACCCCACACTCGGGCATTCGGGCGAACGAATGTACTTCCAGACAGGCACGAGCAGCATTGTACGGAACAACCGTTCTGTACAATGAGGAGAGCCCAGACGCCCCAGATACACCCGAGGACCGAGCGAACCATGATCTTTGGAGCACACCACAAACCTCGCGGAAAGGGGCGGCCACCACCAAGAAGGAGCAGACAGCCATCCTTCTCAGACTGCGACACAACGGCGCCGCCGAACAGCTACACAAAAGGGAGATTCCAACGATGCCCCCGGGACTGAACCGCACAGCTTAAGTCACAATCTGGCGCATTGCCGCCACCAAGGCCGCTCTTTGCGATGGCGTTAAAGGGGCCCTGCAACAACTTTTCGATTGGTTTTAGTTTGCACCAAACCTGAGCGCACTGAACGTAGTAACTTAAGGAAACTTTTCTTTTCTCAAATTCCGCTTTATTTTAAAAGTTCTAGACATATTTCGCAATGCAGAATGAGATCAAGCTTTTTGAGGATAGCCCACTACATTTGTCATAATCAATTTCTTGAATTCGGTTAAAAACAAAATACACTTGGTGATGAGGCTCCGTGAGGTATATCTTTTTTTTTATCTGCCCATTGAGAAAAAAAGTAAGATGTATGTATGTTTTAGCGCGACTTCCATCACCCCACTTACCACCTAAAGTTTGGTGGAATGACTTGCATAATCGCATCAGCACCGAGACTAAACTCTCAAGGTGTTCTTGTCTTATTAGTGGACATTTAGGTATTATACGACGAGCTACAGATTAATAGGTGATTTAGATTTGGTCATTTTGCCGACACGCCATGACTCAGCCAACTCGAAAGCATTAAAGAACGATGTTCTTAGATATATACATAGATACATTTAGTAGCCGCATATCTGTGTGGCACTTGGTTAGCCAAGCCAACATTTTAAACGTACAAGCTAGAGCTACGATAAATAGATTCATGTATTTGCATTGCTTCCCACACAACAAAGCTAATATTAGTGTTAAGAATACATATAACATTCTCGTCTATTTGGTCGGCCCGTATCCATCACACCAGATCGAAAAACACTACTGACGGAAGCAAAATTCTTTATTTATTTATTTATTTATTTATCCTTTCTACAATACATAACTGATATTTACGTTATAATGACGTCAAAATACCTTCTTTAATCGAACTTTAGACAGCAGTACTTGATGAGATTTTCTTATAGCTCTTTTTATGTCGTTATTATATTGTTATTATTATGTTTATTTTTCCTCCATTTTTAACATTGATGCCCCTCCGGCTGTAGTTTTCAAGGGGGAGCCGCAGTATTGTGATATAAGCCCCGGGGCTTAGGAAAAGAAGAAGTGGGAGTTACTCAGCTAACATGGACGGCTGTGCTTTCTTTCCTCACCGGCTACGAATACTACATGGTGGCAGCGAATTTAACAATATTCATTCATGAACTTACCCTCCAAGCATCTCCAGAGGGCATAGGTGCCGACCGAAGTCCACCGAAGTCCAAGCCTATTAGTCTAGCAAGCGCAAATACACAGGGAACCACCGACAACCGCTTCGCCCAAGATGGCTACCTCTGTGTTTACTTGTCAACCACCGGAACCTTTCGACTTCATAAAAGCGGAAGACTGGCCTCGATGGATACAACGCTTTGAGCGATTCCGAGCCATAAGTGGACTTCACAACAAGCCCGCAACAGAACAAGTGAACACCTTGATATATTGCATGGGCGAAAAGGCAGAAGACATTCTACTCTCACTTAGGATTACTGCCGACCAGTCACAACAATACGAAGCCGTTAAGAAGGCCTTCGAAGACCATTTTATTGTACGGCGCAATATCATCTACGACTGAAGCAAATTCCATACAAGGAAATAAGAAGAAAACGAGCCCGTTGAAAACTTCATCACCGATCTACATGTGCTCGCAAAATACTGCAACTTCGGAGCACTCCACGACGAGATGATACGTGACCGCATCGTCGTGGGAGTCCAAGATAGAAAACTATCCGAGAAAATGCAACTTGATGCAAAACTAACCTTAGAGTCAGCAACCACAATGGCGCGCCAGCCGGAAACAGTCAAAAACCAACAAGACGCTTTACATGGAACCGACAACGTCAACAGAGTTCAATCGTTCAAGGCACCAGCCCTTTTCAGAGAGACACCCCAGAAGGGGAACACACAACAATTATGCTACTTGTGCGGCAGGGAGAAACACTCCAAAGGTAATTGTCCAGCGCGAAATGCCAAGTGCAATAAATGTCAGAAGCCTGGTCACTTCGCAAGCGTTTGCCGGAGCGGCACTCACGTCCGAGAGGTAACCACATACGCACCAGAGGAGCCGTATTTCTTGGGAGTTCTTCAAGCCTCAGGAACACAGTCTTGGGAGGTGACTGTGGAAGTCAACAACACGCCGGTTATTTTTAAAATCGACGCAGGAGCCGACGTCACAGCTGTTCCTGAGAGATTACACAAAACATCCCTCGGCAATGCGGCCCTGACGACACCAACACGGTCCTTGAGGGGGCCCAGTCAAGAAAGACTAACGGTTCTCGGTGTGCTAAAAGCACAAATCCAGTACCGCGACAAAGTTACTATAACAGACATCTACGTGATACCTGAGTTGCAGACTCCATTACTCTCCAGAGCAGACAGTGAGATCCTGGGTGTTGTCAAAAGAATGAACGAGGTACTCGCTTGTCAACCTACGACAGTGGACCCGAGGACCGAGTTCCCAGCACTTTTTCATGGCCTTGGTCACGTGAGGATGCCTTACACGATAAAACTCCGTCCGGATGCAGTACCTGTTTCCCTCGCATCTCCCAGAAGAATCCCACTTCCCCTGATGGACGAGATCAAAGACGAGATCGCCAACATGGTCAGACAAGAAGTAATTGAAGCCGTTGAAGAGCCAACAGACTGGTGCTCTGCCATGGTGATCGTACAAAAGCCAGATGGGAAGTTCAGGATTTGCGTAGACTACACTGAACTGAACAAGTATGTAGAACGCGAACTGCACCCCCTCCCAGTCACCGAACACGTACTGGGACAGCTAAGTGGAGCGAAATGTTTCTCGAAAATGGACGCCAATTCAGGGTTCTGGCAATTCGAGCTGGCTGAAGAATCACAAATCCTGACAACATTCATTACACCTTTCGGAAGATACAAATTTAAGCGACTACCGTTTGGCATCACATCTGCTCCAGAGTTCTACCAACGCAAGATGAGTCAAGTCCTGAGTGACATTGAAGGACAAGTGTGCAATATGGATGACATTCTCGTCTATGGGTCGACCAGACAGGAACACGATAAGCGACTTCGATCTGTCTTATCCCGTCTTCAACAAACAGGCATAACATTGAATGTGAACAAATGCCAGTTTGGAGTCACGCGCGTCAAATTCTTCTGACACATCATTGACCAAGGGATTTATCCTGACGAAGCAAAGGTGGAAGCTGTCAAACAAATGAAAACACCTTCGAACGTCACCGAACTGAAGAGTTTCCTGGGAATGGTGAATTACCTTGGAAAATTCATATCACGCCTTTCACAGGTGTCACGCCCCCTGACCACACTTCTTAGCTCTAAAAATGACTGGAGCTGGGGAGAAGACCAACCGCGATCTTTTGAAAAGTTGAAACTGGCACTCACCTCAAGTCCAGTACTGGCTTTATTCGATCCCAAGAAGCCAACTGTGCTGTCCACTGATGCCTCATCTTTCGGAATTGGGGCGGTACTTCGTCAGGAACAAGACAATGGACAGTATAAACCTGTAGCTTATGCGTCACGGACAATGAGCGAGACAGAGAGGCGCTACGCTCAGATAGAAAAAGAAGGGCTAGCTGTAGTATGGGGTTGCGAGAGATTTCGGGATTTCATCACGGGTATGAAAATTATGATTGAGACAGATCATAATCCCTTGGTCCCGATATTGACATCACAGCGCTTTGAGGACATCACACCAAGACTCCAACGCATGAAACTCAGAATGATGAGGTACTCGTACGAGATTAGACACATCCCAGGCAAATATCTCGTGGCTGCAGATACGTTGTCAAGAAACCCACTACAGACGGACCCAGACAAAGAAATGGAAGACGAGATAGCAGCCTATGTACAAGGTATTACTGTCAGTCTACCAGCTTCACCGAACAGACTAAAACAAATTCAAGAAAAGCAAGAAACGGATGACACCTGCCAGCTGCTAAGGAACTACAGCATGCATGGCTGGCCCTCCAAGAGCTCTGTGGACACCAAATGCGTGAATTACTGGCAACACAGAAACGAGATTGCCGTGGAAGAAGGACTCCTCATGAGAGGGTCCCGTATCATCATTCCAGCCTCACTGCAAAAAGAGATCCTGGAGACTATACATGAAGGTCATCAGGGTACCACCAAATGTCGGGCTCGAGCGAGAGAGTCTGTCTGGTGGCCAGGACTGTCTACACAAATAGAAGCGTTTGTGAGACGATGCACACGCTGCATTCAAGAGAGAAGAAATCGCCCTGAACCTCTCATCCCGACTACATATCCAGACAGACCATGGCAGCGTGTCGGGATGGATCTCTTCTACTTGCAAGGGAAGTGGTATCTACTCGTAACGGACTACTACTCCAGATACCCAGAGGTGGCTCCTTTGAGCAGTTTGTCAGCGAGCTCAGTAATTAATCACCTGAAGTCTATTTTTGCCAGACATGGCACACCAGAGATAGTGTACAGTGACAACGGACCTCAGTTTCAACGACTGGTGAACTCCAAGTTTACGCAGTTTGCGCGAGACTGGAAGTTTCATCATATTACACCCAGCCCCAAGTTCGCGCAGAGCAATGGGTTTGTGGAAGCTGGCGTGAAAATAATTAAGGCCAGTTGAGAAAAAAAACTGATGATGCCTATCGGGCACTGCAGGCATACCGAGGAACGCCACTGGGGAATGGCTTCAGCCCTGCAGAACTTCTGATGGGCCGTCGCATTCGCGCGTCCCTTCCAATAGCAAACCACCTTCTGGAGCCAAAAACTCCCGATCACTCAGAGCTCCGGGAATGGTAGGAAAAGAACAAACTCACACAGAAAACCAACTTCGACAAAAGACACGGTGCGCGCCCCTTGAAGCCAATTGAGGAAGGGGAAAAAGTGTGGATCACTGACCAGAAGACCGATGGACTCGTAAAGACAAATGCAGGACCACCCCGGTCCTACATAGTAAAGACGCCAAGAGGGGAAGTACGACGGAACAGATTCCGCTTGATCCCAATGGAAATGCCCATAGGGAACGCCCAAGCAGCTGACAAGAACGTCAGCAATCAAGAAACGACGGCAATACCCGCAGGGAACGCCGAAGCAGCTGACGAGACCGTCCGCAGTCAAGAATTGTTGTGCCCGGTGCCGTCGACTTCCCAACTTCCAGTCACACGAAGCGGACGTGTAGTAAGACCCGTTCAGAGACTGAACTTATAGATACAAATGAAAAGATGAAAAAATAAAGAGGGGGAGATGTGATATATGCCCTGGGGCTTAGGAAAAGAAGAAGAGGGAGTTACTAAGCTAACATGGACGGCTGTGCTTTCTTTCCTCACCGGCTACGAATACTACAGTATATATAAGAAATAAAAAAAATTGAATTATTGATTGCTTTTGCTTTTACTTCGGTTGATTTAATTAAGTTGACTGATTAATTATTGATTTGCGCTTAGGCTTTTTTTTACTTCGTTATAGTTGCTGATTTACTCTCTTCATCAAAGTGTTTTTTTTTCTTATGTTAACACCTTTACCAAAATGGGCTAGAAACATTTCTACAAATAAATATTAAATGAACTAAAAACGTTTATTGTATTTCTTAACGTAGCTGGGACTGTTTTGCTGAACTTTTATGGGCCATTTGAAGAGTTCCTATACTGCAAGAGACACCTCGATTCAAGTTTTGATCGGCTTTGGTGGCAGAATAAATTAGTCGGGAACGAAAGATTTATTGTTAAAATATCAAAGACTGAGCTAACATGGTCCTATTAAAACGTACTATTGTGAGTAGCGAACGGGTTATTCTGAACCGATAGGCAGGCCACAGAAATTAGGCACCCGTTATTTCATCGCTACCCCTTCAATATAATAAAAGTTTGATAATAAATGTAAAACAACCAATTCTGCAAAACATGTGCCCCGGTTCTTTCGCATGAAAGAACAGCAAAGCCGGTGATGGCGTCTTTATTGAAAATACAAAAAAAAACCTTTGCATTTTTCAGCCTTGGGCACGAAACCTCACTAGACAGGCGAAGTGTTGGCTTGTGGATCAGATTTGGATCAGCCTCAGATTACCAAGACCAAGACTCGAGTTATCAAGTTTGCCTTCATAAAATGGCCTTCGAGATAAGTGCGATCGTTCGTGAAACATGACCACTGAAGCAGCATATTCATAGCATACGCAGCCTTTTTTAGAAACTTGACCAGAGGCAAACAAACAAAAACAAAATTTGTAAAAGTACGACGTTCTCATTTTTTTTTTCTTTAGGATGTTAAGTTCAGGATTAGAACTTAACTCCTCTTTTTTATGCTCCCGTCTATCTAACAAACGACCTTGTAGGGGTCTCTTATAAAATACAGGGGACACAGTCCATCTTCAGACATTGACTGTTTCCTCCCGCAAGCAACGACCATGTGGAAATTCCTTGTGATCGCATTGGTTGGCCAATTGGTCATGGCATCTCCGAGGCCGGAAGGCCAAGCAGGTAAACCTAAACGCTTGTTTTTCGGCTGAAATACAGCTGCAGCCAAATAAGTATTTCTTACTTGAAGTTAGTCTGAAAAAATATTTTTTTTAAAGTTCCCGGCAATCTAAAATGCCATGATGTGGTTAGCTGATGTATTTGTTTTCCAAAAATATCAAAATGCAAATTTGCTTGTATCAAAACATACAACTAAATTATCTTTTCTACGCATGAACAGTAAGATTGCCCTGTTTCTGTGCCAATGGTAAAATCAACAAACGAAACGATGTTACGGATGTTTGCGACGTTTGGTCTTGAAATTGCGAGGAAGACAATTATTGTAGCAATGTTTTGGGTGTATTTCATGTTTGGATTAACTAAATGCCCCGATTGAGCTGGATAGCACTTCTCAGATTCAGTCTAAAAGTATTGCACTCTACACTCTGTTTTTGTTTGTAAGTTTGACTTCGGTTAGTTTTTACTTAATAATAGAACAAATATTAATTACAAAAATCATAATTACGAAAAACAGGCGCATTACGTAGCTGTTCTATTTTAATAATTATTCTCACAGCATCCGAAAAGTATCTTTGTTATTTAGTCAAGCTGGCAAATATGCGAATGGACAACGTTTTATGTGGCATATAACTACACTGCGCTATGCTTATTGAAAGCGTTGCTTATACTAAGTCTGCCCCTGATACATCTCAACCATGTACGCATTAATGTTTAAAAAAATGGGCAGTGCTCAAAAAATACCGTAACCGTTAACACGCAAAAAATAATTGTCGAACATACATGGTTTTTCCTATATCCAAAAACCTGACATCAAAACTCTAACTTCGTTAAGTAAATTCCTCTAAGGGGCAGGCTTAGGTGTTAAAACTAGGTATTTATCAATACCATCGAAGTAAAATGTACTCACACTAAATTTTCGCGATATGTAGCAGTCGGCATACTTCCGTTGCAGATTCTAAATGTTCAACTACATCCTCTAGGTCTAATTGCAGAGCTAACTTTATTAAGCAATTTACCTCTGCAAAGAAAAGAAAGAAAAAAAAAAGACAAGGGGGATATTTACGTTCTGCAAGGTCTACGACATACTCTTTTAATGGCTGATTGATTGCTGTCAGGGGTGTCAGTGCCACTCTAGAATGTACTTGGCTACACGAAAGAAGGCATGCATTACTTTTAAGTAAACAATAAAGTTCCGCGATGTTTACTCTACTCCTTTCTATTCCCCTCCAACCGCAGCCCACACTACGATACGATGGCGCCACCAATCACGCAGAGGGAACGCGACACGGTCTTGCGTGTTTTTGTTTTCTTCTTCTTCTGCGTTCGATAGCAATGGCGCAAAGGCGACGAGTGCCTTGACGAGGCATTTTTGGCTTTTGGATCGTATCGTTGACTGCGGTTGTACTTAAAGTGAATCTGAGTATAATTATTGTTTCTGGTGTGTCGAAGAACTACTGCCCACGCCACCGCCACCTGACTGTGCCGAGAACGAAGTCTACAAAGCGTGCACCAGTAGTTCCTGCTCCGAGGCTACCTGCCACCATCCCCAAGTGGGGCCCGCCTGCACCGCTGACTGCATACGGGGATGCTTCTGCAAACACCGTACGTGGTCAAACACCGCGCTTGCGTAACAATCACAACGGACGATTGCGAATGGCTGGCTCACATATATTAATTGAGATCCAATGTGCTACAACAAGATGTGACCGCTTAGAGCGACAGAAGGCATTAAAATATATATCGGATAGACCTGAGAAACTTCTGGTCTGAACGTATATTACGCATCATTCCTTGATACATGAAATGCGGCAAAACCTCCTTTTTATGTTCATACACAGATCCGAATTGTTTCAGGGCAACCTGTTATATTCGTCATAAGCGCTTAGAGGCGTTTGCGGCGCAGGTCGGTCACGCTCAAGCACAGATGTGTGAACAAGCCTTAAGAAGACAGTTCAAGCGCATAAGCCAGTAAAAGCGATGACTCACTGCAAACAAACACGGAGCTACAGGAATATTTAGCAACACTCTGCTCCCAAATTTACGTTAACAATTTTTTTTCCTAATCGAGTGTTTGTTCTTGAACTGCATGGTTGACCTGTAATTGGCTGATGAGCTCTAAATATGATAAGGATATAAATAAACTTATAAACGAAAGCTCTTAATCGCGATTACGCTTACAACGTTATAAATACATTTTACAGAGCCGCTCAGGTTTGCTTATTACATGGTCGATATTATGATAATATTTTTTTCATCTGTATATAGAAGGGAGTACACTTCTGGAATGTTTCCGAATGAGCTCACTTTTGCTATCGTTTTTTGATCAATTGCCACACTACTCGAAAGTTAAAAAAAAAGACACGAAAATTGCTCGAGATATTCGTACTAGCCGAACGTGCTTCGATCACCTTTCGTTTTGGTCACTATACCTTAATATTCATGGGGTGTACAATAGGCGTATTCATTCGAAATATTTTCCCACCAATTGCTTCTAACCTGGGTGCATTTTTCTTCGGATTGAAAGCTAACGTTCTTTATTAAAAAATAAAACATACAAAAACATAAACAATAATATACTTGCAAATTGTTCGCACTGTACTTTCGCAATTCCAATCATGCTGATTTAATCGCAGGTTTCACTGATTCCTGCTCTAGCCTCTAGGCAGTGTTGTACACGTTCTTCAAAAAAAAAAAAAAGGAACGTAAGCTCGTTCCTCGTTCCTTCTGATTTTTAGAACGCGTTCCCGTTACAAGTTCCATATGGGAAGAAGGAACTCGTTCCCGTTACAGTTAAAAAAATGGAACGTATAGTTCCATATACGTTACATTTATATTTTGCTAAATACCATAACTAGTTAGATCGAGCAAAGCTGTTTTTTTTATCTACCCAATCAAAATAAGCAGTCATGATGTTGTTCTCCATTCTGTACATGTATCACTGCATTACTTGATTACTGTTATGTAACTTATATTACCACTTTTGAAATTTGGCATATATATTGTGTTAGTTTAAGTATAAAATTTCATGTATATGTATTCATTGCAACTGCTGTGTGACTGTAATGCCCGTATCCCACTAGAACGACGGACAGAAACAAAAGACAGCGACAAGTCTCAAACCCATGCTGCACGCTCGCGATGGTACCTTTGGCAGGCGTTTGTTTAGCCGTTCGGTGCTCGTGAAGTAAGCACGAGCGATAGCAAGCCTGCCAAAGATACCCTCGCGTGCATGATGCTTGTGTTTGAGCATAGCCTCCTTTATTCTACAAAACCTCTCAAATTACTAAATACTCTAGTTTGAGGCTTTTCGCTGTCGTTTGTTTCCGTCTGTCGCTCTAGTGGTACACGGGCATTAGGGGGCTAAGGACCCGTCAAGCTGCTTGAACATCTTTTTTCTCAGCTCCCATCATACTTATATTGTAAATAAAGTGTATTATTATTATTATTAAATGGGAATACACGAATTTGAATGTCGTCATGGAAGTTCACCAGGAGAAGAAAACAAGGGGAAGCAGGGTTTCATTTGTTGATATAATTACCTTTAAAAATCGCAGATTTAAACCCTACTGCTGTTTGTGGGGGCCGATTCAGACGACCCAAATGTACTCTTGCCCCACATTACACGAGCGTTTGACAACAACCTCACACGTTTCAATCTAACAGAGTTCCTTGTTCGAACATAACAAGTGTTGCCTCTCGATATTTCTGCCCGCAAAACAAACAAGTGAAGAAGAGGGTAGGGATTTTTGGAAGGTCTGTCTTGAAAACTAGAAGTCCTTCTTCACGAAGGTTGGGTTCGTTGTTTAGCTGAAAGGTGGGGGACAAGTGGAGAATGAATAAAGGTTAATTTTGGGTTATCTTTTAAGTGACCACTGTTCGGTATACAAGGATGTGTTCGATATCTGGTAACCTGTTCTTTTGTTGTAACTGTATTTTTGTGGAAATTCAGGGATGGCTGTTGGCGGCCTTGGATTTCTGGGTGTATGAGGATTTGTGCAAGCAAAGAAAGTAGCCGAGGTTAAAACGTCTCTCTTTCTTTTGTCTTGTCCTTCAAATAAACGTTTTGCTCTTTTTACCACAGTCCTGGGCTCTGAAATAAAAAATCAATGCCCACTAGCTCCCCTGCACCCGACTGTTATTAAGCGAGAACCACACACAATAAACCCTAAGATAAGTAACCAAGAAGTTAACGAGATCCAGCCCTTCGTAAAGATATTGCTATTATACTTTTAGAATTTCCCGGTCGAAAATTAAGTAAACATTATCCCATTCGATGAAACAAGGAACGCCGTTCCTTTTCCGTTCTAGTAAAAATGTAACGACTTCCCGTTCCAGTTCCACCGAGGCAGAATGGAACGCCGGCGTTCATTCGTTCCTCCTAAAAAGAACGCGTTCCAGGAACGCCGTTCGCTACAACACTGCCTCTAGGATACACGACTCCTCGTGGTCGCTTTTATTATATCGCAGTTTTTCATTTTTTCTTTTCCAATTTTCTACGCTAGGTTCAGTCTCCTCGCTTAAGCTTGAAAAGGCTTCACTTATCCCAAACGCTCTCAAAAATAGGGTCTCGTTAATCAGGCACGTAGCCAGGATTTTGTTTCGGGGAGGGGGGGGGGGGGGGGCCCGCCCATGACAAAATACTGTATGAGGTGGACGGGGGAGAGGAGGACCCAGCAAGATCGAAGAATATTTTTTTTTTTTGGTGGGGGGGGGGGGGGGGGCGGGTTCCATGGGCCGCCCCCCTGGCTACGTGACTGCCGTTAATATACCCTTTTATGGAGTAATAGGCTCTTCGCACTGATTTCCTTAAAAGAAGAGGTTTAGGTTACCCCTTTCACAAAGGAGCAACTATGCGCCCTTCAACCAGGACTCAACTGCGCACTCTTAGGAAATCTCTTTGATAACAAGGCTGTGGCGCTGTAGTTTTTTACGCCACGTACCGGAGTCCAGCGTGGGTTACAGGTTGGTTACAAGTGCTGCATCAGATTTCGGCTTCGACTCGTCTACTCATTTATTGGACACGACGTCTCGTCGAATGCTTAGGTAGAAATCGGATCCAACCTGCGCCTCGCCCTGGCCTCGGCTACGTCATGTACAGGTGTCAGCACTGGGACCTTTGTTATGCGAAAGGAATTAGCCCTCTCCTTCAATTTCTGTTTTTCCTAATGCATTGATCTAGACTTTAGTAACGCCAAGCGTGTTGTACATTTTCTTGTTTCTAGGTTTCTACCGCGACGAGCAAAGAAACTGCGTCGCGAAGGACCTGTGCCCCGAAGGTTCGGCGGCACGTACATACGTGGAGGAAGAGCATGCCCATGAGTGACGAGTCTGGGAGTGAAGTTAACACACACTGCAATAAAAGTTTTTATTGACGACACATTGACAGTTTCCGACCTGTTTCTCTCAATTGAAGTGAATGTCTTGAGCGTTTATTATAGGTGATGAGTCACGGTGTGTGAGATCTCGACAGAGCTAAATTATTTTTTATTCTTTTGTTACGAAGGTATAAATAAATTTGACATTTACACTTCGCTAAAACCTTGAACGGAAACTTTCAGCCTTTCCACTCTGCAGAAAAAAAAAGACCAGCGAAGGTGTACTATGGTGGGAATGAAGTAATGGCTGGCCGCAAGTCGGCAAGCCAGAGTGGAATGGCTCGAAAGCTTGACGCCGTCGCTCACAGATGGCGGTAGCTGTCCGGAATGTTGCCTCGGCATTCATTTGCTGATGGACACTATCCTGGGGAAACTAGCCCTCAACAGCTCCGCTATAAAACATTATGCCTGTTGCCAAGGTTCTGCTCAAAGTCTCTCAACAACAGCTTAAAAAAAATTGCGACTTTTGTAACATGCGCAGTCGTAACTGGTACATAAATGTTCATCAGTTCTATAGGTGTATAAAAATGTTACCTTAACAGAATTACATCTCGATACGTTTTCGCGTCAGTGTCAGCGACTTTGATTGCGGAAGTGAGCGGTTCACGAAGTGATTATGGTAATGAATCGAGATTTGTGATATCTCAGTCGTGTTCAAACGTGTCACAGAGAGTCGAAACCTATTATTAGAAGTCACAATTCATGGCATATTTTAGTGAAAGGTTTCCGTGTACTCTTTATTGTGTTTGTGTGTGTTAAAATACCGCTTTTGGGAGCAAAAATATGAATGAAAACAGACTGTGTGTCATTTAGACCTGCTAGACCACAACTCAGATCAAACACCAACCAAATACTAATTAAACATGAAGAAGATATATAAAAAAGGGAGGGACAACAATGACTTCCACCAATGACATTACACTTTTTTGTAAGCTAGATACCTATTTCCGGCCCATACGTGCTAAGTGCTCTTGAACTATACCAGAACTTTGGGTTGCTTGACACCGTAAAAAATAACCAAAATAAAGTAATATTTAAAAAAATAGGTACGTGACCTAGCAAATACCTGGCTCCGTAACGTTATCCTAATGAAGCGTGGCGACAGTTTTTCGTCCAGTTTCATAACCTGAAAGCCATTCATAGTGGGTGTCAGAATAATAATGCAATGGAATACCCGCCTCAGCAGCAGAGCTCCAGCAGTTTAACACAGGGGCGTGTGTAGAGTCAAAGACCGTCAAAATTCAAGAAGTGCCAACAGAAAGTGGAACTTCTACCTCATACTTAACCTGCCACTAAATAGAAAAAAAAAAGAAAAGATAAGCGCTGCGCATCCTCTACAATATTTGGAACACGGAAAAACATCAGCTCTAACACGCCACAGTTGCAAGCAGGACCACGCGGAACGAGACTACGCGGCAGGACGAAAAAAATACTTTATAAACGTAAAAAAAAACATGTATTTGAGTTAAAACGCGTTTGTTTATTTTAAACCAGATTTATTTGAGTTAGCCATATTTACTTCCTTAAAAATCTTTTTTTTATATTAGGTCAGATTCATTTAGTATAAATCCAATTTGTTTTATTTAAATCAAATTTATATCTTTTACCTCCAACGTTCGTATCTTTTACCTCTGGTATATTTTTAACGTGAATGTTACTAATCAGTCTTTTAATGCTCCTCAGTTGTCTGGACAATGTGCATGAAAAATAATCTATTATATTTCCCGCAAAATATGTATTTCAATCAAACTTTTGACAGCAAATATAAATTGTTTTGTACCTAAAACGGGAGTACCATTGCTTCTTTTAGCGTTACTGGGGCAAAATATTTGTGTATTAATTATTATTTAAGAAATAACTACTAATTTATTAGCACATTACTACACAAGCCTGGAGAGAAACAATGTCATAATACTCTGCCACGCCATAGCACATCTTGAAATATTGCGTGATTGGTGGCACTAAAATGGTAGATGCCTGGTGCCGGTTAGCCATAATTAGATTAGTAAAAAGTATGCTCACGCTGCAGGATAAGAAGCCGCCAACTGGTGAAGTAACGACGCCCCTGATGCAGCTTGACAATTACGGAAACTGCCACTAACGTTAGAACTGTAACTTCGCGAGGGATGGAGACTATTTGCGTTAGTTTCTCGATAATATTAGATCTTGACCTCTCAACAATGTTGAGTCAGAATAAGCAAAGTTAAGCCCGAAAATCATCGTTGCTATTGGTTTATCACAGAGGAGCGCCATTTTGTGTTTCTAGGCACCCTAACAAAAATATTTTGATGATTCTTTTTTTTTTTTTTTTAGGTGGAGGTAAAAAAAAAGGGTGCCTGTGTTATGTGTTAAAGAACGGGGACTCCAAATCTTACAATAAAACTGTTTGATATGTTTTTATTTTGGACGAGTTTCTATTCAAATAGAAGAAAGGTATATGTTTTCCAAATTATTTTTGAAATTACGATTTGAAACAAGTGTAAATCACCTTGATCTTTGTCTCTTCGCCCTGGTACGTAAAATGACGCCAGAACCACAATCGGGGCCTCCCAACTCAGAATCGTATCAGTGAGACACTTCCAAATCGTTTAATTTTGATGTAGTAGGCTGAAGCCCGAATCTAGGCTTGATTTGCTAGCAGCTGGCAGCTGTTACTTGACTCCTGCAAAAGCATGGGTCGCCAGAAAAGAAAAAAAAGAAACTGGGAAGCTATCTTTTTTTTGTGTGCAGATTGTTATCACGTTGTAATATTTCTGATATTTTTCTGGAATCATGGTGACATTTAATGTTCTGGTATCACAATTAACCGGTATTGTCATTGACAGAAGGAAAAACACTGAAATGTCTTTCAGGTATCCTTCCTCCAGCTCGAATATTCTGCGGTCCTGCCTTCGCTACCACTTCGCTAATCTGTGTGCCTCTAACGTGCGTTGTAGCGAACCTAGGGTAGTCCTTGTTGTGGGGCTCCGCAGGAGCCAGGTACCGACTAGGACATCAGGAAGATGGGCCTCGGAGGCCGGGTTACTTTTCGATAGACGTTTAATTTACATTTGTACAGTTGGTTCAAGACTAGAAAAGGGAAGACATTTGCTTGTCAAAGTTCGTTCATTTTAAACACTTGGTTCTCCCTAGGTCCCTAGGTAGGGACCCCCACATCGGTGGATAGTCGGCCAATCACAGAAAGGTGTCCAGTTCAAACATCGTTCATTACAGCTCCTCCGCGCACGGAAAGATCTCAAAAGGGAAGGAGTAACCGCTTCACGCCTGAAGAGATCAACATTCAAGCGGCAAGAAGAAGCTTCACACATAGTAGACCCCGGCCGAAACAAACAAAACCAACAAGTGTCCACACTGCCTCCGAAGCCGCCAGGCCTTCCTATGTTTTGCATATTCCAGCTAAAATCACCCTAACAGTGTGCCCTGAAGCCTCAACACAAGACTAAAGTCGGTTCCATTCTTGACGCACCTTACAATATAGCCAGATTTAAACAATATGCGTACAACAAACAAAGATTATTCGCCTACACGTAAAGTAGTAACCCGTTAAATGCATAGGAAAATCAAGCAACACGAGTTTAAAAAGACCTACTCAGGCCATCTACATTTCCGTTAGGCTTTCCTTTCTTGTATTTTACAGTGAAATTCAGCTGCTGCAGAGCAAGGCTCCACCGCAGAAGCCGAGCATTTTGGATGACATCTGAGTCAGCCAAGTCAGCGGGCAGTGATCGGTAACGAAGACGAACGGGGCTCCATACAGGCAGCAGGATAGATTTTGGGTCGCCCAAATCAGGCACGCGCATTCCTTCTCGGAGGCGCTAAACGCCTCTTCTCGGGTACTGAGCTTTCTGCTAGCGTAGAGCACGGGCTGTTCCTCCCCGCGGTTATCCTCCTGGCAAAGAATGACGCCTAACCCGCGATTACTCGCATCGCACTGTACAATAAAGGGACTTTTATAATCTGGCGTGCGCAGCACAGGAGCGCTGCACAAAGCAGCCTTCAGCCCGCGGAAAGCCCGCGCCATTTCCTTCGTCTAGGCGACCTTCTCGGGCGCGTCCTTCCTCAGAGCGTCCGTTAAAGGGCTAGCCATCTCGAAATACCGCGGAATATAACGTTGATAATAACCCGTCAAACCGAGGAAGGCCCGAATGCCTGTTTTTTTGACGGGTTGCGAAAATTCATTTGCCGCCTCGACTTTCAGCTCATCTGATCTACGCCGGCTCTGGTCCACCACATGCCCCAGGTAACGCACTTCCCCTTTCGCCAGCTTGCACTTTTTGGGTTTTACAGTTAGTCCGGCCCCACGCAATCAACTGAAAACATCCCTAAGGTGTCTGAGGTGGTCTTCCCAAGTGGCTGAGAAGATAACCACGTCGTCTATATACGGGAGGGCGTATGTTTCAGCGCCCCTCAGCACTCGGTCCGTTAATCTCGAAAAGCAAAAGGGCGCGTTTTTTAGACCGAAACTCAACACAATCGGGCGAAACGTTCCAGAAGGAGTTACAAAAGCGGCATACTGGCTCGCCCTCTCGGTCGTTGGGACGAGCCAGTACCCTCTAACAAGGTCCAGGATCGAGACGAACTGAGCCCCACTTACTCGTTCCACCCTCACGATGTGGGGAATCGGGTACACTTGGTCTTTAGTGATCGCGTTAAGTTTGCGATAATCGACACAGGGTCGAGCGTCCTTTCCGGGGGCCTCTACGAGGATTATGGGCGAGGTATACTCGCTCTCGCAAGGGACGATGACTCCCAACTTTAACATCCGCTCGATCTCAGTCCTTAGGATATCTTGCTGTCGTGTAGCCATGCGGTAAGGTCGGCATCTGATTGGAACACCAGCTGTGAGCTCTATGTCTTGCGCCACCACCGAGGTCTTCCCCGGAATTTCTGAAAATAGTCCCTCAAACTCTCCTAACAGTTGCCTCAGGTCCGCCACCTGAGACGCCGTCAGTTGGTCGGTCTGTACCGCGAGCGCCATTATCTCATCAACTGCGACAGACCC